AGTTTGACTTTGACACATAAGGGAAAGAAACGAAAGCACAAAAGCTCTAGACACCTTGACAGCCGACCATCCGCCTCAACAACAGCACCCCCAGCCAGCAGAGCTGCCCGTCTGTGGCCGCAGTGCGGGGCTCGGGCTCTCCCCGCCTGCCCAGCACCGCTGCTCTGCTATAGCAGGTCTGATAGCTTTGGCCTTGCTGCTGATTACTGTAATTTTTTGTGAGCAGCAGAGAGAGGACACAACCTGCAGCTCCTGCCAGCCTGGTCTTACTTTTCTAGAGAGGTTTGAAGATTTATGTTCAAATTTTACAGTAACCGTGATTTGCCTTATGGATCGTGAATGTGTGGTTGCCCCACGATCCCACAACGAATCTCCTGAGACCACTGTCATAGCGGTCTCAGGACAGGTAGTTAATACTGGGCATTAGCAAGGCTTAACACTGAAGTTTTCCCAGTGGAGCAAACCATGGGGTAGGGCTGGAGCTGGCTGCCTGGCAGGTTTTGTGCCCTGATACAGAGCTGTCACCATTGCTGCAAGGCCAGACCCTCCACGGTAAACCTGGGAGTGACAGCTGGGCTCTGCGTGAAGAGTGAATTTTCATGCTGAATCATGGATTCTGACCAGACTAATTTTAAAAACCTGTGTCCCCAGGAGCAGAAGCTGCTGGGAGCCTTGAGGCTGGCAATAAGGGCATGGTGGTTGTACTTATTAGCTGCATTACATGCTGCCCTCCCAGGAGAAGGACATTGTGGCTCCATGGAGATGTAGGACCACCATGTGGGGCCTTCTGTCCATCTGCTCTGCCTGCGGTGGCCTGCAGCTGTGGGTCTTGTGACAAGCATGTCCTTGGAGCATGGTGGAGATATGGTAAAAAGCTGCCCAGGCAAATGTGTCTTTCGGGGACTGTCCTTTGACTGGAGATCTCTTCTAGGAGGCACAGAGACAAGCATCTTGCCAGCTCGGGCATTGCACACGCAAGACGCAGCCTGAAGCACGGGGCAGTAAGCAACGTGGCGGTGGGGGCCAGGGAGGCCAGGTGTGTGTCCCTCCTGGCAGCTGGAGGCTGTACAGGTCGATATGTTGTTGTCACCTGCAGGGGGGCTCTGCTCAGTCTCCACATTGCCCAGGACCTGCTGAAACAGCAGCCCGAGGCAGCGGTCTAAAGGCAAGAGCAGAGACATTCTTGTAATGAGCCCAGTGATCTGGTGACTCATTCATCCTTTCCCAAGCAGCCAGTTTTGATGTGAAAACTTCAATAAATGAAGATGGAGAATCCACTTTTGTGACATTTCCAAGAGTTGTTTCTTATTTCTGCTTTGAAGGTGATGGCTTTAGCTTCCTCTCTTTATGTTTCTCTGCACTAACCACTGGGAGCCTTTAATCAATCCACAGCGCTCTCGCTGCCTTTCTTCGCCTCTCTGCACAAGTCTTTTCCTGACATTCTCTGAAATCGAGAGGTTCTCGCTGGGGCTTCCAGGGCTCTTGTAATGCAAATGATAATAATGATATTAATGCTAATCATTGTTATTCTATAGGGTGAAATGTCAAGATTCCATATTTTTATGTTAATTTTTAGTACACGGGTGCTGCATTAACTGTATCTCGTCCGGCCAGAGAATGTGCTTTTCGTATCACAGGGGCTATTAGAAATCATTAGTAAGAAAGTTGGCTACTATTGCGCCTGATGGATTGGTCTTTGACATCAACAATGCAAAGTGACATGATAAATTGGGAATGAAGGATGAAAAGCTGTTAAAAAAATTGTGAATGTAGCTGTAAATTAGTTAATTTCATATTTAAAATGCACGCCTGAGTTGTAATGATAAGGAGAATCCATGTCGCGACTGTTGAATTACATGTGTGTACTGAGGAAAGGAGCTAATGTGTTGAAGCAGGAGGGACTGGTTTGTCACTACCAGCCTGGATAGAAAAAGGCTATATCGGCAACTGCACTTGCTTTGAAATAGGATTCTGTGGGCAGTAAGATTGGATTTTAAAGTGTGATGTCTGTCTTTAATTGTGGTTCTGAAATGGAGGATATCCTTGATAGCACAAGACCCCTGAACGGTGCATTTTTGTTATAAGTACTTTTAAGCAACAAGTATTTTCATGCAAACAGCTCCATTCTTCTCATCAAGACATTGGTATGACTTGCTATCCTGTTGGCCTTGTATTTATTACACAATATTACTTTGTAGAAAGTATTGCCTTTACTTTGCAAAGTGAAAATCTTTTGGGTCAGATTTCTCTTTCATTTAGGTCATTTTTAATTGACTGTAAGTGAAACTGATGCTGTTATATAACACATGGAACATAACGAACACTGCTATTTCAAATTTATACTAGCTTAGCTGAGACCCGAGCCTGAACCTCTCTTGGTTGATAACTCGTTTTTGTGTTTGATTTCAGCGGCTAACCTCACTAATTTGGATAGTCTCGACAGCGCGTTGAGCTTTATTGAAGACCGGGTGCATAGATCGAGGCAGCGCTATCGAAGGCATGCGACGGATGATGATTACAACATTGAAGTCCTTCTGGGGGTTGATGACTCAGTTGTTCAATTCCATGGGAAAGAACATGTTCAGAAGTACCTGCTGACCCTGATGAATATTGTGAGTACAACCCCACTAACTGCACTGTGGGAAGGCGCTGAAAGGAGGGTGAATGTAGGTTGGTTTAGCCATTTGGATAAGACATAAGAGATTTTTCTCGTGGCAGGAGATAAAATAATTCCAGGAGGAAAATCCAGGCCACTTTCAGAAAAGCCAAAAGAGGAGAAGGAAAAGAAAGCAAAGGGGGGCCAAGGAAGAAGCCAACTGTGGGACTCTTATTATGTTCAAAGTCTTGCTTATGTGCTTTGGTGGATGGGGACACAGGGTCAGGGGCTCAGGTTCCTGGAAGTCATTACGTTTTAGATGTATATTCCCTTAACCTAAGCTCCCTGCTGAAAAACATGGTTTGGAGAACTATCTTCAAATAAGGTTCTATTAGAAACTTCGATTGGCTTATACATTTTTAAAACTACTCAGTTAAATGCTTTGATTCTTCAACAACCACCTTAGGCCCCAGGCCACCTACCCACTCCTTGTTCGCCCTGCAGTAAAATGTTATGCAGTATATCACTAAACTTTCTTAAATTGATTTAGTATTTACTCCATGACTGACATCTCTAGGTTTCCTTAGTTAAATATTTAATCTTCAGAAACATTGTCTGTGTAAGACACTCTATAGTGTAGTAGTGATGAAAGGAGACGCTAGAGAATATTATATTTGTGTGAACCATTTTTTCTTTCTAAATATCAATGCAGCAGACACAGCAGCCCTCTAGTACTCCAGTCAGTAAGCAAGGACTCTGTTTTGTGGGAAAAGAATCAAGTTTTGAAAAATCATCTCTGTTCTAGATCAAAATTAAAATACGTTTTATTTTTCTGGCAAAAAAAATTGGAAGTGAGTGGAGCCCCCTCCATAGGCAACTCACTTGGGTATGACTTCCTTCTCATTCTCACCTGGAACAAGAGGCTTTTCTCAATAAAACACACTTCTGTAAAAACTTTAGGTTCAGTGACTGTATGTTCTAAGTGAAATACTGTTGAGTAAAGAATCTGCTCTGTTTTTGACAAATAGACTATGACTGCTGAAGTTTACAGTCATGTCAAGAGGATGAGTGTCTGTAGCTGACTTCTTGGCATTACAAACCGTAAAGGCAGATATATGGACAGAAATCCAGGCTATTAGGTACATTTGCCTGGGATGTATTTTTTCCAAGATATATTTTTTTAATTAAGAAGCTTGGCTTTTTCTTTCTTTATTACATTATTTTAACAATGTGTAGAATTTCACTGTTTTTCACTTTAAATGAGAGGTGGAATGCAATTTAAGAAAATCCCTGGTGTGATATAAATTCAGTTGCACTGACTTTTTATAACAGTATTGTAAATAGTTAAAAATCTGCACTAACATTAGAGTTATAGGATACTTAGTGTCTGCTCTGATGGCTGTAAATACATACATTCTAACAAAAATGACATAGTGAATTTCATTTATTTGTGTGGTTTGTTTCCTCTGAGGCTTAAAACAAAGTCTACAGTGAACCAGATGGTTTTATACATCTCTAAATTAAAAAGCCAAACAGGCCAAACCAGGAATGCGGCAAACAGGCTGAAATAGATTAAACAGGACTCTTTACTTATCATGTCACTTAAATCTATTTTTAAGAATTAAAATATACGGTAATGGTAAAGAAGCCATAAATGTTCCAGCTCTGGAATATACTTTTTCCTAATTTTAGTAAACCATCCAACACACAAATTGTAAGAAATAACAACTCTTAAGCATGCTGTCTCTGCAAGTGGTTTAGAAAGTGCAGGCTGTGTAACCGTACCCGCAGGGCTGTAGCAGCTCTTGGCATAGGCTGTAGCTGTTCTGTTGGGAGATCTGAAGTGGAAACACGTCTTTTGGGGCCTGAGGATGTGTCCCTTGCATTGGGTCCAAGATGTGAGGAGCTGTTTGAAATCCACAAGGCCTCTCGAGGAGGCTCTGGGTAGTCTTTGGCAGTCATCAGTGTTGTCCTGTTCTTTCCTTCTTCAAAACTCGGTTGGTTGTTAGAGTGTATTTTAGGAGAGGGGTGGGTGCTGGTAACCAGTTCTGTTTCCAGCTGTCCAAGCGTTGCTCCAGTATAGAGAGGCAAGAGGGGTTTGCTACTGCAGATAGCAGACCATGCTGGGGACCTGTAATGTGTTGAGGGACATCACAACGCAGAACTTCTCCTTCTCCTTGGCAGCGTAACTGCAGCTGGCGGGTCCTCCAGCTCTTGCCCTCATTGCTAGATGGATGCAACGTGAATTTTTGTGTAGATCATTGCTTTGGTCTCCTTTGCTGAAATTCACACAGCCATTGCCCCATTGTCCTCTCTTCTACCTCCTTGAGTAGTTTGGTTGGGTTTTTTTTGTAGAAAATGGGCCCAATATAAAAAGCTGTTAGGGATCACATCAAGACTGTGTTTCTAATGAGATGTGTAGGTCCAAGGGCAGCTGGAAAAGAAGAGACAGCTACAAAAAAATCCAGCTGTCTTTTTAAATCTGGTGGAAGATCCTACCATAACCATCAGATTGTGTGTACCGTGCTGGTTTTATGGATATAATCAATTAGCTTTGTACACTAACAAGGCAGTAAGCATAAAATCAATTACCTTCGTACAGTAACACAGGTAGTAAGCATAAAATCAAAGAATGCATAGTAAGTAAATAAAATAATACTGGGAGTATTTACTGGACATAAGGGGGTGATCAAATAATTGAATTTCTGTTGTTCCAAAAATGAAATAAATCCCACGTGACTCCTCCTTTATGCCCAAGCTCCCGGAGGAATGAAATCACTTTCCCAGAAGCAACTCCCAGCATGGCTGCTTCTCCCCACTTTGCTTGATTTCACTGTGTGTGATGGCATGAGCAGTTGTCCTTAATTAATTTTTCCCAGGGATCTTGGGTGGAACCCTACCACCAACCCAATCAAAACAATATATTTTTTTAAAGCCCGGTGCGATGACTTACTCAGAAATTGTGTTTTGTGCTGCTTATGTGATGTGTTACAGTCCACACCTAAAAGCCATAAAGTGAGAGAAAACAGGGGCCGGGTGTCCTGGCTATCTTGAATAGCTGTGCTAGTATTTATCTCAAAGTTTGGAAATGAAGTCAGTCCCATACGAATGGTGATAGACGCCAGAGGATTTTTAACACTTTGGGCTGCAGCCACGTATCTCCTGACCGTACGCCAGCCGTTTCACCGCAGTGAGCTCGGCCTCTTGCCACCCCCTTTTCATCCTCCAGTTATTTCCTCATACAAAACCCCTGCTTTCTCTTGACATCTCCTCTTTTCTCTGCGAGGCACCATCGAGACATTCAGTCCATCTTTGGAAAAAATGCCATTGTTTTCGCTTTAGAGACCCTGGGCTGCCTCTCGCTTGCACCATTTTCTTTCGTACGTCATGCTGTGTTTTTTCCTGGGAAGGATATTAACTTGCACAGTCCTCTGCATTTCCAAGCGTGAGCCCACACATTGCACAAATTAACTTTGTATTTATAGCATGCAGCAGCATTGCAGCAGAGGAGAGAGATTTGGGCCGTATCTTGCAGCTCTGTAGTTTACTCAAGAACGTGGAAGGTAATTTAATTCCAGCAAGAAGGCGGCTAAAAATCCCAGGGATTTTATTTGCACGTGCAAGTGTTTGGGAAATATTAGAAAAGCGCAAGGCTAGGAGCGGCATCGGAGAATTATCTTGTTCCTTCGGGAAACAAAAGGATTTCAGCACAGGATGCTTTGGGAGGAGGAGCAGGGCGCTGAATGGGCGTTAGTGAGTTAAAGTGGGTGTTGGTGGTAGCCAGCCCTGGGGCTAAAATTCTCGGATCGTTTCATAACCTTTTTTAAAGTATTCAAGATTAAGCAGGACACTTGCTGCCTGCTGTGGGAGAGCAGCAAACCTGGGACTCACCAGTACATTGACCTGTCTGGGCCTGCAGTGTTGATTAGAGTGAATATTTCAGCCTCTGCAATCCAGTGTTTAGGGTCACATCCAGGATGGATATCTTCAAAACAGACTTCCTAAACAGGCAGATGTAGAATACCTGATCTTACAATATTTCGGCCATTCCAAATAGCGAAGTCTCGTGACATAAGCTCAGTTGCAAATGGTTTTGAATGTATGGGCTCCATCTGTCTTGACTTTAAGTCATCAACTTTCATGCCCCTCTTCAAATCATGGGTTTTTTTCCCAGTGACGCCCCTGGTTTAGCTTTTTCTTGTATCCTTTGTCTTTCTTCCTCCACAGTATTCCTCAATTCCTCAACTACTTCATTTTCTACTGCTGGCAATTGCCATCCTTGTTTATTTTTTGGAAGAATTTGCCTACAAAGTATGCACATTTTTTGATTTTTGGACAATCTTCAGGGGCAAAAGTCTTTAATTTCCTTTCCATTCCTTTACAGTAAAAGATATGATATTGCAGTATTTAGGGGTTAGCCTCTGTTACATCTGTGTAATGGATATATGGCCAAAATGTTTGCGCTGCTAAAATCCATCTCCTCAAAGTAGATAGATGCCTAACTGCCATTATTTCAAAGGGAGATAGACCCTCAATAGGATTTGTACCTCACTCTGGGCTAGATTTATCTGAGTATTTAGTCATTTACCTGCCTTTGAAATCAGTGAGAATCAGTTTTAAAAATGAGCCCATGGGATTATGTCTCTCCCAGACTTTAAGTGAAACTTCAGCTCCAGAACAAATACATTAAACAACTTTTCATTTGAATAACTGAAATCAATGGGAGTTATGCAGCTGGGAGCTTTGGAAAGTCCCCGGAGTCTTTCACCTGCATCTTTCAGCACTACACATGTCTTTGAAATTGTGGCCCTGAGGCACTTTTGAATATGTTATCCGTCCTCTTTAATAGGATGTACATGATACTACTATTATAGATGAGATTTCTGCTTTCGTATCGCTGGCTGATGAGGGATGAAGATTTGCAGGTACAGAACAGCGAGTCCCTAATGAGAGGAAAGGGCAGAAATGCCATTGGTTTCTAACTGGCAGTTGGATGAAAACCTGAAAGCATGTCTC